TCTGACACTTTATTTATGTTCGATCATCCAGAGAGCCAGCAAGTTGCATATTCATAACCGCTGCGTTTTGGTGGGTTTAAAGTTAAAGATGATGTATTGGAGTTTAATAGTTAGTTTTTTATGGGTAGGGAATGAAAGGCAAATTCAAAAACTTTATTTTTATATATTTTTTTAAACTGACATTGGGGCTCGGTTTATTTTAAAGGCTGGAGTTGGAATAGATGGCTACGGTAAGTTAGGGCAGATTGAGTAAGTTAAGATCAAATAGGATAAGGTGCAGTAGAATAAGGTGGGATAAGGTGAAGGGGAGTAGGGTAAGGTAAAGTAGGGCAAAGTGGAGTAGGTTAAGATGGAATGGGATAAGGTGGAGTAAAGTAAAGTGGAGTATGGTAAGGTGGAGTAGAGAAAGGTAGAGTAAGGTAAGGTAGATTAAGGCAACGCGGAACAGGGTAAGACGGAATAACATAATGTGGAGTACGGGTAAGTGGAATAGGGTAAGATGGAGTAGGATAAGACGAAGTAGGGTGAGGTAGAGTAAGACAAGGTGAAGTAAGGTAGGTGGAGTATGGTGTGGTGAAGTAGAGTAAAGTTGAGTAGAATAAGGTGGCGTAAGACAATGTGGGGTAGAGCAGGGTAAAACTTGTTTTCTACTTTATTACTTTCTTTACAACTTTATGTAAAATAGTATACTGTAAAAGGTTTAAGTTGTTCTACGATTCATAATTTAAAAAACTAAATAATTTATAAGTAAAACTTTAAATTTTTAATGTTAAAGAGTTCGGCATGAGTGAAAATAGAAGTTATTTTTACTACGTACATATATATTAGAATTAATTAGCATAAAAATTGCTTATGAGTTATAATGCTAGCAAACATCATAACTATTGTAGGCAATAGCAGTGGTAGTAGCCTTACTACTTCATTTGACAAGGATATTATCATTACACATCGTTTATATACGTGGTATCGACTATAATATACTTAATCAAATTTGTGTGTTCCTAGCTTACCTACACAATATTAGTATCTTTGGCATTGTGATAAGTGTATTAACATTAGGAATGGAAAGAGCAATGGCTGTCAAACTGGTATATTCATACGAACGAATTTCTAGACCTTTTTTAGTCTGCTTCGGGGTGGTAAGTCATTTTTATTATCACAGAGGTAAGGTCCAGGGAGATAGGCTAGTGCTAAGGCTCTGCGCTAGGGTACTGGGCTAAGGCTGTGGGCTAGGGCTTTGAGCTAGGGCTCTGAACTAGGGCTCTGGGCTAGGGCTCTGAGCTAGGGCTCTGAGCTAAGACTCTGGGCTAGGGGCTTTGAGCTAGGGCTCTGGGCTAGGGCTCTGGGCTAGGGCTCTGGGCTAGGGCTCTGGGCTAGGGCTTTGGGCTAGGGCTCTGAACTAGGGCTCTGGGTTAAAGCTAGCTATAATATTTTAAATTTAAAAATGTGATTTTAGCTATCTTTGTCATGCTTATTTGGTGGCTTAGCATCGTATTTCACTACGGTACGCTACATAAACTACAGTGCAGACCCAGCACTACAGATGTACATAGCGGCAGAAAAGAATATTCCACTGACTTTTTTCGCCTTTTCCATCGCTTTTTTTGGTTGTGTTGGGGGCGCATCGGTAAGACCTTTTCCATGCCGTTAAATTTCAATGAATTTTTTTTCAATTTGAAATTATTTGAAAATGTTTTTTATTTGGTTTTTTGCTTGTTTTTAGTAACCTAATTGCATCACTTCAGGCTCAACTGTACCAAACCAAAAAATCCGAGAAAATGTTCAGTAATTTCCAAGGTAAAGTGCCATTGACTGCCCGATTTCAAAGCCAAGAGATTATGATATCGTCAAGAGTGCTGATCCGCCTTTCCGTATGTTATGCTACAACATGTGCTCTTGGAGTAGTCATATCATCCATACGATTGTACAAATTTGGCTTCTTCGGTGCTGATAGTACTCTTAACAAAATTTTGGCTGAGGTACAATTTTGTTATTACGTAATATCTTACATAACCCTACCCTACCATACCCCACACTACCCCCACTACCTTACACTACCCTACCCTAATTTACCGTGTCCTCCCAAATCGTACTATCTTCTACCTTATTCTGGTATTGTATGTGTCATTAACTTAACATTGATTTCAGTTGACCTACTTTCAAGTGGATATCGTTGTGCTGTTTATTATAATCTACTTTGTCACTCAACATCAATACTTTCGCTCGATATTACGCAATGACATTACTAACTTATTCGGCGTATACACAGCCAATAAGATCATTCCAGCTGGCCCGACGTTTGTCATCCCCCAGACGTCTGCCTATTTTCAGCAAATGAATGTTCTTTGGAATGTAAGTTCAGATTTTGTAACTTTTTTAATGTTGAAACACGTTTAGACTTATTATAGACCATGAACATTATTGAGTGGTAATAATAGATTATGTGTCTACTGTAGTTAACTTTTGATCTTTTAAGTGCATTGACATATGGCATTTTAAATAGGCAATGTAAATAGAGCCGAGATAAGCTAAAGGGGAAAGTCATGAACGTAGCTTTGGTACAGTAGGGGCTAAAGTAGAGATAAGGTAAGTTAAGATATAGATAAACCATAATAAGGCCCGATTAGGACACGGTTAGGACGGAAAAAGTATATTTTATGATTTTTCTATCGTTGTCAGCGTCTAGCAATATATGGATAAGACACAAGTAAAAATAGGGTAGTGCTAAAAATGGGTAGAGTAGATATAGACAAGCGTAAGGCCGTAGAGTTAATATAAAGTTAATTAATGAAGCGCTACTGCAGTGCTAGGATATGCCTTGAATAAAGTCCGGTCAGCAAAAATTGCTAATTTAAGTGTATGGTAGGGTTATAGCAAACTAGAACATTGTGGCATTTACTTTGTTTTAGTAACTAATGGTCTGTATTGCCTTTTCCTGGCTATGTATGTACTGTAACTTCATAGCCATGCAATATGTAACGTTACAATTAATACATATTCACAATAATAGTTCATACTGCATTGTCCAACATATTGTTAATAAAAATATTGTACTTTTGAGCACTTACAATCATTTTTTTACAAAAAATTACAATAATTTTCTGTTCTTACTGTCGTAAGTAGATAGAAGTCTAGGTTTAACGTAATTGTCTGCAAAACGCAACGCTAATTTAATTTTAATTTAAAATTGTTTCAAAATTAACTTAAATTACATTATAGTAACACAGCCTTTACATGACTATTATGCCTTGTACTTTGATTTTTATTTTAGTAAAACGTGGTTTTAGGTCAACCCTCAAACTACTCGTTCAGCTCCACCAAGTGCTTCTTCATCCAGCATCAAAAAACCTTCATCACGAAATGGCATAATCAAAATACGTGTAATTGATGTGAAACGGTGATAAGAACGTGTAAATTAAGGAGAATTAATTTTTACTTGAATAACTGAAAAATCTTTAAAATTTTTATTTTTTAATTGTTTTAACTTATTCTTTTCTGTCGTTGCCTTTGTAAAGCTGTCACGTAGATTTCATTTACTTTTGTCACAATACCATAGTCATTAGCCTAATATAATGACAGATTATACGTTGAGAAGCTTAAAGTTAGTGTTTACTTATTGAATGGTAAAAAACAAGGGGTAATACGGTAACAGCCATTATCAACATAAGCATGCTTGTTGTTTACACGGATGATTTCGCATTATATTAGCCGTATTACTCTGAAAAACAGTAATTAGTTTGATAGCCACTAAAACGCAACGTACTAGTGTCAATACAAGCAAGATGTGACCTTTGATTGTTGACCAAACATAAATCTAACAAATTACAAAAGGTCTCCGCAAAATGGTGACGTTGTGTAGTGAGAGGTTCTGTTTTTCTTGATCACGCTATACTGACTTGTAAAACGGCACGGCTTGGCCTATTATTGAGTCAAGGATAGGAAAATATATACTGGTAACAATCAGAAAAATGATAAAAAATATTTGTCGTTTTTAACGAAGACATTTATTTTTCTTTCGACCAAACCTGTAAAGAGGCCAGATCGGCTGGCTTTTCTTTGGTTAAAGGCGTTTTGATCCCAGCTCTCGAGACTTGAGCTCACGTATGCGCTGGCCCGACTCTGTACTATTTAAATCTGCTTTGATCCGGTTAAGCCTAATATTATAATATATATTTTCAATAAAGTAATAAAGTATTTTCTTTCTATACAAACAACCCGAAAAAACCAATATTTTGCATTTACTGTACAGAGTGTTAAATTTACATAATAATTTTTAGTGCAAATTGCTTGGCGGGGCCATATTTCTTGTTTACTACAGTAGTCTCTCTATATAGTTAACCATCTGCATAAGTAACCCTCCTTCTAGTAAACAAGAAATTTGGCCTCGCCAAGTCAATTTGCGCTAAAAATCCTCTCTGTAAAGACAACAACACATCTTATAGTAGACACAAAATGTCGGTCCCTGAGAGTACTGTATAAGGAGAGTTTCTTATATGGCTCACTATAGAGACCGCCGTCACTGTCAACACTCTATTTGCAAATTTACTCGATTGAATTGTTTTTTATATTTAATCAATACGGTGTACAACGCTCATTCAAAACTTACTCATTAAAGATACATTTATAGCTCTCAGTAGCCTATGTTAACGTATTAGGTTGGCCAGTTATAAATTTCGTTTTTAAAAGTTTTTAATTTATTATAAAATATATTTTGTCCTCATAATTGTTGTTAATTTTTTATAATAAACTTCAAAAAATTTTGGATATAAAATCCATAACTGGCCAACATAATATTGTACTTTCCGTCAATAAACTTTCTTTCAAACTTTTTAACTCTCGTTTGCTTAAACATAGTAATTTTTTAAAAAATAATTGTCTATTCAAACAACTACATCAAGCTGCCAACTTTCTCCAAAATTATCAAAGTTTTAATTATTTAAACGTCGTAAAGTTGGCAAAGTTCATCAAGAGATCAAAGGTTTAATTAAAACGAATACCAGCTATTTAGTTTGTTTAAACTTTAAATCCCAGGTCTGTTGTAACGCACTAAAATGTGCATTTTGGTCTTGGCGTAATGTCAACTTCATTGGCTGGACTTGATTACTTTGAAGGATAACGCCTAATTTGTGAAAGGCAAAGAGGTTCGCAAATAAAGTGTACACGGCGAGGCAGCAGTAGTCAATCTGAAATTGTTTCTTAAAAATTTGTAGTTTGAAGTATGGCAAATGTAGGATAAATTAAAGCTTAGGGCTAGAGGTAGCTGTTGGACTAACTAAAATGCATTTTCAAAATAGGGTAGTGTAGGGTAGGGTAGGGTAGGGTAGGGTAGGGTAGGGTAGGGTAGAATATAAAAAAATTTAAAAACATACGTTAATTGCTGTACCATACAAAGCATGCCATAGAGGTGTTACGTTATTGCTGAAGGCGACTATAGTAATTACAATTTCTGAAGGTAATGTGCAAAGATTCATTACAAAATTGGCCAAAAGAACGGTGTACATCACCTCACTTATTTTCTGGCTTTGGCGGATTTCAAAACTTTCACTCAAGCTTGTACTGTTGTGTCGATGGTATTGCAGAACGTTTTTGGCGCATGTAAAAAACTGGAATTTTATGGTTAACTTTTTCAATATATACATATAAGACGTTAGCAGAGTTCCCAAATTTCAAATTTCTAGTTCCGGCCTCAGCGCCATCTCCGCCTTTTTTTTTAAATATTTGCTCCGGCTCCAGCTCCGGAGCCCGTGGGAACACTAGGCGTTAGTGTAACTTGTAATTAAGATTCTTAGCAAGAAATGAGTTTAAAGTTCCTCAGGGATATGGCGTTGGCTCGGGCTCCGGGGCAACTTTAGCTCTTGAGCTAGAACCGTAGCAGGAGCTAAAGCCGAAACTGGAAATATAAAATTAGAGACTTCTAGTTAGTGCAAGAAAAAAAACTGCCAATAATATAGAATATAAATGAAATAAATACCTTGAAACATACCCAAACACCAATGAAAAGCGACAAGTGGTATAAATAATAGCTAGCCACACAAAAATTTGAGGATCTTTGCGCCTCTGCCGATTTGCGCCATCGGTCTTCTATACTATCACCAGTGTCAAAAATGAAAAACAGCAGTGTTTTGATAACCAGTCCTAAGATTCCAAAACTTATCTGTAAAAATTTTAAAATTTAGGTACTTTTAAATGTTAGTTATACAAGGTGCGCCACAAGTTCTGTTACACGGTTTTTTAATTAAATATTTGTTTTAACAACAAATATAACTAAAACAACAACTAACAATAGTAAAATATAGTACTAGTTACATGTAACATAGTCAATCGGTTTCGAATTGTCTTCTCCTTGCGGCTTGGCACAAGCGCAAACGTTTCGAAAAGTTTTCAGATTTCAATTTTAAAGTGTAACAGAACTTGTGGCGCGCCCTATGTACCGTAAGGCAACAAAAAACTTTAATAATTTTAAAAAATTTTAAAAAAATTTAAAAAGCATTTTTGAAAAACCTCACCATAGTCAACAAAATTTTTAAAACAATATTATTCTCTTCAAATTCGTACGTTTTTCGACGTTTAAAGGCAATATCTCTCTCGATGGTCAATATAACAAACTTCATGATTAGAAAATAAACTGAGATGTGGTCGAGATACGAAAAGATGATACCTAACGTCAACATAAGAGTGGAATTTTGTTTTTCAGCCATGTAATAACAAAGCATGGTCACTGGATGAAAAATAGAGGAAAAGCCTGCTATTAGGTTGACTCCTACCTGAAAGACAAAATTAAAAAATAAAAAAAAAAACTAAAAAATGAATAATTATTTAAAAATTATCAAAAAGATTTACATATTGTAAAATACGCTGGTGGTAAAGCATGGTATCTTAAGCTACAATCCTTATATATATTTTTTTATTTTTTACTTTATATGAATTTAAGTAGAATAAAATGACAAAAAACCTACAAAAGTTTGCCTGAAGCTCTTGTGATAAGTTGGTAAAGTCCAAACTCTTTCCAAGTAGTACCAGTTTAGTAATAACATTGTTATACCAAGTAGAAGCTCAAGTATTGCTAAAGCACGACCAAGAAGTATCACATACTCTATCATTTCTTCTTCTTGATTGGCAGTCAGGTTGTAAAACATAGTCCTATAAATGAAATTTAAGCTAACAAAATGGAAAACTGTAACATTTTCAAAAAATTTTTTTAAATTTGCTTTAGCCCAAAGTCTTAGCCCAGAACCATCACCGAAAGTCCTAGCCCAGAGCCCTAGCCCAAGCCCTAGCTCAAAGCCTTAGTCTAAAGCCCTAGCCCAGAGCCCTAGCCCAAAGCCCTAGCTCAGAGCCCTAGGCCAGAGCCCTAGTTCAGAACTCTAGCTCTATCTCTAACTCTAGCTCTAGCTTTAGCTCTAGCTCTAGCTCTAGCTCTAGCTCTAGCTCTAGCTCTAGCTCTAGCTCTGGCTCTAGCTCTGGCTCTAGCTCTAGCTCTAGCTCTAGCTCTAGCTCTAGCTCTAGCTCTAGCTCTAGCTCTAGCTCTAGCTCTAGCTCTAGCTCTAGCTCTAGCTCTAGCTCTAGCTCTGGCTCTAGCTCTAGCTCTAGCTCTAGCTCTAGCTCTAGCTCTAGCTCTAGCTCTAGCTCTGGCTCTAGCTCTAGCTCTAGCTCTAGCTCTAGCTCTGGCTCTAGCTCTAGCTCTAGCTCTAGCTCTAGCTCTAGCTCTAGCTTTAGTTTTTTGGAAAGTAGTTATTATGAACTGTACTGTAATAATATTGTAAAAATATTTTACACAAAACAGAGAAACTATAAAGCAACACATGTCGAGCATAATAAATGCTGACACGAACTCAATTCTCATTATATATAAATGATATTCTTCGTATAAGCTTCTTACTTTGTTGATTATTAGTGGTTTAAGCTGACATTTAGTTCATAGCCCAGAGGAAATATGTAATTTGAATCGAGTAAATATATTTGACAGTTCAAACCTACGAAGCAAAATTTGAAAGCATGGTTCGAAATAAATATAGGTTGTTCTAAGTCAGGTTTTTGCAAACGCATACATACAAAATTATTTACAGTGTTGTTCATAATCGTAACCGCTCTTAAAAACGCTTTATAACCTTTTCCCGGAATGGCCGATATGCTTGAAAACTAATACAAATGTAAACAACAACGCATTATCAACGTAGTAAACTACCAAAAATGTAGAAAAACCTTTACAAAAGTTATAGTAAATAAACAAATTATAACCTTATTTTAAGGATTTTAATGCCGGCGACGAAACGTCGCTTGGAGCAAAAACGAAACAACATGTTGTTATTGAGTTTTATATTGTTTGAAAGACAAGGTTTTAGGCTATCGTTTGATCTGTTTGTCATGACTTTTAAATTTTTCAAAAGTTACAAATTTCTTAAAACACCCTGAATTTTGTATTTTTTTTATTTGGGCTTTGAAAGTTGTTAGGAAAGATAGAGTTACGCCATTTTTTATACGATGTCAAACTTGGCCACAAACCAACCGCGACGACTCGGAACATTCACATGACATTTTGCACTGTTACAGATAAGAAACGCGATGTAAAACACTAATTCCAGCGATTCTTAAACGGCGTCTTTGCCCTCGTGAATCTGGAACTTGACGATGGAATTCAGAAGTTAGCGGCAAAAGAAGAAACTTAAAAACTACACGATAACATGTCAAATACCTTGGAGTTAGCCATACTGTGCAGGATCATATGATTCATTAAGATAAAAAAAGAACCATCTGGTAAAATCCGACATTCTTTTCTTGCCAACTTAATAAGTTAGAGGTATGGTCAATAATTTCTGCGAGAAGTATACTTCGGCTTCTGTTTTGATGTAGCCTTTCAAATATATAAATGAAAAGTGATAAGGGCACAAAAACAATGATAAATCGGTTACTTTGTCTACACAGCGTTCCGACTACGTCCTGAAGTCTTGAGAAGCACTTCATCACGACTTAGTAGCTTGAGAAGCAGGATTATGTGTATGAGACTAATTAGGAACTGTTACATCAAATTCTTCTGACGGTCTTTGCCAACACCCTCGCCATCTCCTTTTACCTTTGAAAAAACTTCACCACTCCTCTTTACATTCTAAATTATACAACTTGCGCTGGAAAAAATACAGTAAGCTTTATTAAATCCAAGTTTCGTGTTTAGAACTGTGATCATTCTGTTTATGAGGAAAGTTGTATATATTACTAAGCCCTAGCTCTTCCTGAAACTTTCGAGATTCTGCCATTCTATCTTTTACCAACTTTTGCTCTTCTTCAATACCTTCAATATCAGCTGACAATCTTCGTATAACCTTTACAGGACCAGAAGCCCATTGAGGCACGTTATCAGCATGATCCTCTATAAACTGTACTACACAGTGTCGAAGATTCCGAAGTTTGTTTTGGCAGGTTTCAGAGAATTGTTCAGCTTGATTCCATTTCTGATTGATCTGGCTGAAAAGTGGGGTTGATTCGATTTGATTACGATATTTAATTGGGATTGTGTGAATTACTTGGTCTTTCAATTGAGATCCAAATTTGAAGAAGGCTACCATGGAAGTGAAGAAGGTGTAGAAGGAGATTGTTAGTTGGTCAACCTGGGAATAAAACTTTGATTTAAAATTTTTTTATACTCTGCTCTACCCTGCCCTGTCCTACACTATCCTTTTTCTAAAGTTATAATGTATATTTAAGTAAAAACCACAATTACAGAGCGCGTATTTTACCTTAACAGAAGCACTGTAAACCTCATCCCAAATAGGGTTGTTATCTTTAAATACTGATTGTTTTAAGCTCATTAACAATTTAGGTAGTCCACAGAACCATAGTAAAATATAGCCCTTTAACATTGGCTTCATAAGGTTAGTAGAACGTTGGTGTTCTTCTTTTTGAGCTAACGTTTGTTCACTGTGACCACGTGGGTGAAAGTACGGTAGAATACCGTGAATGTTTGTGCAGAACTGCAAGAATATTACCTTTAGTACTGATTTCAATAAATTGAAACTGACTATGATGCCTAGTTTTATATTTGACAGTGTAATACGATGATTTGTCTTGGTGGAATATAATTATAGAAACTCTTACAACAATTCCGATGACAATTGAAGCAACAGCTTCTATTTGCGTGAACAGAGCAAACATTGGTGACTCTCCAATACTAACTGCTTGAATAAACCGTTGTTGTACTGGTAGTTTAGTGTACTTAATACAGTAGAATATCGTTTTCAAGAAAATGCCAATAAACATCAGTAAAAGCTATAATTTGCAATTTAAACCAAAGAATTAGTCTTGAAAACGCTAAAATGTTTTTTAGCCTGTGCCTGACCTTGAGATAAAAACTGAGCCTAAACTTGACTTTGAGTCTGAGCCTTAGCTTAAGCCTGAGATTGAACCTAAGCTTGAGCTTGAGCTTGAGCTTGAACTTGAGCCTGAGCCTGAGCCTGAGCCTGAGCCTGAGCCTAAGGGTGAGCCTGAGCTTGAGCCTGAGCTAGAGACTGAACCTGAGCCTGAGTCTGAGTTTGAGCCTGCGCTTAGGTTTGAGCCTGAGCCTGAGCTTGCACCTAAGCCTGAGCTTAACAAGAAACAAAACTTACATATCCACCAATAACTTTCCTAGCAGTATTTTCTTCTCTTCTTTTTATCTTTACTGACTCTCTAAACTCTACGATTCTTTCAGTAATCAAAATCAGAAACTTCATGTGCAAAAACATCAGTGCCACATGGCTGATAACACTCATCAAGTATTCGATTAAGAATGTCAGAAAGTCAGAAAAACAAAAGTCATTATGATGATTATGGCACATATTAGGGACTTTGCTGGATAACTCAGCTAGTGGGTGGCAAAGTGATGTTAGGCTGATTATGAAGTTTACTGTCATCTAAAATTTTTTTTAAAATTTTTTTAAAACTTAAATCAAAAAATACAAAAATGCCGTATTAAGAAGTTTGTACTTACATATGTTTGGTAAAAGCTGTCTTTAGCCTTCTGATTCTTACACATTTGTCGAATAGCAAAAATATTTAAAACTACAGTAATTATACCAAATATAAATTCAGCAGTTACAACTATATTGCCTACAATATCCAAAGCGTCTTTAAAAACTTCATTTTTTTGGAAAAACTTTAGCTGATTGTTCATTTTGAATAACTTTAGTTTCGGTATCAACAAGAAAATTTAGTACGAGTAATGTGCTATAACGCTACAGTAATGCAGTACAATGTACAATAATTTAACAGTGATATAATAGTACGGTACCTCACGGCGTTCCAATAACAGCACAAGGTACAACGATTTAATTCTAATATAGTACAAAGTATAACGATGTAACAGTAATATAGTACTATGTAATACGATGGGACAGTAATATCTTACGATCACAAATTTGACGTTTAAAACCAATCTTAAAATTTGCAACAAAGCCAAAATAAAAAAACGCTTTGCTGTTTAAAATCAATATTTTGCAGATTTATGAATGTTAATTAGTGTTTGGCTAATTCGCAAAGAAATTATAGTCATTTTCTCACGGTCTATCGTATTTATTGTCATATCAATGTGGTTTTTATAAGCTTACAATACAATTTTTATTACCTTGTAAAACATCGAAAATTTTTTTGTTTACTACCATAATCTACTTTCCTCAATATTACCCTACCTTGCTTCAGCTTATCCTATCCTAGCCTACCCCGCCTTACTCTACCCTACCTTGAAAACTATATTATATTTTGTATATTGTAGCAATAAACAATGTAAAACAACGTGGGCACAACGGTTTATGGAACTCAAGATGCTATCATTACAATTATTATATTATATCCAACAAAGTAACCTGGCTTTACACCTAGTATTATATATTAATTTACTTTATTTGCCGTTAATCCTCGCAGTAGCCACAGTCGTCGCAAAAACCGACGATTTTTTAGTTTTGTATATCTGATTTCGATATGATGGAATTAAACATATGGTGAACAATGGCTTGATAGCTGTTAACCACGCGCATACTACTCGATTGTACATTCCAAGCATTACACAGTCGATTTTGAGTATAGAGAACATTGAGGTAATCATGATGGGTAGGCAATTACCGAGGAAGGGGATTAAAAACTGAAAATTTAAAATTAAAATTTTTTTTTAAATTTTTTTAAAGATATGATAAGAAGCTACAGTAACTCATTCTACCGTGTCTTAGTTCTAGCCCTACCCCTAACAAACAGTTATACAGTAAACCTACCTGAACAAACATGACCCGATTGATCTGCTGCTCAGTTTGAGCAACCTTTGAAGTTTTGTGATGAAGAATATGAATCTTGACGCTGACGCAAACTTGCAAGTAAAGCCAGTAGATTAATATATAAATAAAAGCGGATGTTATGATCTGCGTGACAACGTTAATTGGAAATAATGTGGTTTCCTGAAAAACAAATTTGAATTATTTTTGGATTATTTAATTAAAAATTTTTTCAATATTGTTGAGTCATTTTGCTTAGCAATTTTATCATTTTACCTTTCGATTTTTTAATTTAAAAAGTTTTTTTAAAAGGACAAGTTAGAAAAGACAACACAACGCAAGGCAAGTCAAGAGCGAGGTAGGCTGGAGTGGACTGGGTTAGAAAAAGCTGAGCTGAGCTGGGATGGAAATGAAGGGCAAAGCAAGACGAAGCAAAAGCAGAGCAAATGCAGAGTAAACGCAGGGCAAAGGCAAGGCAAAGGCAGGGCAAAGGCAGGCCAAAGACAAGGCAAAAGCAGGGCAAAGGCAGGGCAAAGGCAGGGAAATGGCAGGGCAAAGGCAGGGCAAAGGAAGGGCAAAGGGAGGGCAAAGTAGTAGTTTTAAAAAGTTTCAAAAGTACTACTAGCTACCACTTCCTAAAGCTTACTGCATTACTATACAAAAACGTAGGCATGTAGTCACTGTAAGGTTGAAGTTGTTGTAGTTCCTTAGTGAATAACATTGTCTCTTTGTCATCGTCGGTTGGGCCATATTTCACAACAGTTATTGCCAAGGGAAACGCTTCAACTATTGAGATCACATAAACAATGCCGATTGAGGTATATAGTTGCATATTCGTTATTACTTTGTTTCTAAACGTCTTGTTTTAACTTCTTGACTACAATTACATGGTGAATAAAATAAAATAGTAGAAACTATTATACTTACTTACTAACCGTCAAATATCGATAGATAAAGTCAATCGGAGTTAGAAAGAGTTCAATTATGACACATTGATATACAGCTGAGAACAGAATCCAACTGTAGGCTAGATCAACGTGCTTTATCATTCCAGCCAGTACCATCACTAGCTTGCCTTGGTATGAAAATGGCTCCTAAAAGATTCAAAATTACATAAGCTAGGCTGATCGCTAGTGCTAAGGTTCCGGACTAGGACTCTGGGCTAGGGCTCCGGGTTAGGGCTTTAGTCTGGGGCTTTATGCTTTGATATCTGGACCAAGGCTCTGTGCTAGAGCTCTTGACTAAGGCTTTGAGGCTAGGGTTGTGAGGTAGGGCTCCGGACGAAGCTTAGAACTAGGGCTAGAACAAAGTCAAACACAAAAATGAATCGAAATTAGGTCTTACCACACTAGTAACAAACTGTAGAATAGTATAGTACAAGTCTTGTACCGTATGTACTAATAATATCCTTGAGTAACCTTTCATATGAACTGGCGTCTTACGGTAAATAAGATAAATTAAGAATATATTGGCTACGAATGCTACACAAAACGCTGTGAGGTCATTGGCTATTAGTTGATCTCCACTCATTAGTAAAACAAAGAAACATAAACCCAGGAGGCGATAGATGGTACCTAAAACAATATTTTTACACTTGAAAAAAAATTTTAGGTATTTTATTACTGTAATTTATACAGTAATCATAAATGTAAAATACGAAAAATCCAGATTTCAGTTTTTTAAAAGTAAAGCACAATAAAGATAGCAATCGTGCTAAAAAAATTACAGTACTAAGACAGTACATATACTAAATTGTATCAAAGTTAAGTTCGACCATAAAAACCATTTCCTAAAGCAAACAACACTGCCACGCCTTTACTACACACAAAAAACACTATGAAATTAATGAGGAAACTCGTAACTGTAACTCAATAAAGTTTTTCCTTATTGAATGATACTACAATTACTGAGACATAGAACAGCCACCTGCTCTCATTACTTAACGTTTTTTCAACGGATACAGCTCGAGAAATAAAATAATAATAAACTCATAACACATGTGTCGTTTGTAACAATGATTTGTGAACAGTAAGTCACCCTACTCTACCCTACCCTACCCTACCCTACCCTACCCTACCCTACCCTACCCTACCCTACCCTACCCTACCCTACCCTACCCTACCCTACCCTACCCTACCCTACCCTACCCTACCCTACCCTACCCTACCCTACCCTACCCTACCCTACCCTACCCTACCCTACCCTACCCTACCCTACCCTTCCCTACCCTACCCTACCCTACCCTACCCTAACCTACCCTACCCTACCCTACCCTACCCTACCCTACCTTACCCTACCCTACCCTACCCTACCCTTCCCTACCCTACCCTACCCAAGATATATTAACCTACTAAGCGTAGCCATGCTCTAACATACTCTATCTTATACTGTTAACGACCCTGTAAAATTGCCAGGCCGAGCCAAAACCTAGCCTAATAGACCTCTTTTCAAGTCTAATTCTGACGCCGCTTGAGTTACCGTAGTCTTACCGTAACTTATTTTCACGGAACCCACCTCGTACGTATTTTACCATGTGAGTCTAAACCTATTCATTTCTTTCTTCATTGGTAGTCTCAAGCAGCATCATTTGTATTCTAATTTAGTCATACCCTACAAATATATTTAAGTTTGTCCTTATTGTGATATTACGTCAGTAAAGTTGTTCTTCTTTGTTACAGTCTTACAGTAGTAAACTTTTTTATCTTCGTATGGACTTACAGTTAATGTTATATTCCATCGTAAAAAAATAAAATAAAATTCTATAAGTCATATAATTTAATATGACTACCTACGCCTACAACAACATACCTAACACCCCAAAATATCTTATGCTACCTCAACAACAAGCCATGTCAATCAACAACACACTATTATATTAGTCATAGTATGACTTAACTACTATATTTGCCATAGTATGACTAAATTAATATAATATGTCCCTACTTTTCACCAGGAAATAAAAGCAACAGTCAATCTACAAACATACAATCCCACATGGCAATACTTACAAACATCAGCACAGTAAAATGTAGTACGATGCAAAACTGATAATGAAATATTCTCACGCAATACTATTGTGCACGGTGTTAAAAGACAAGCTACAATATTTATGAAAATAACAATTGTTAATGGAAAGGCAGGCTGAATACAAATTGACAAAATTAACCTTTGTTTCAACACATTATGTTCAACTGACGATATTGTGTTACGTAGTTGAGTACGATGCCGGAACTTAAAAAAAAATATTTTTGGAATTCAAAATCTTACTTAAAATTTTGAACGTTTAAGCAAAAAATGTTACCTAAAATTTTTTTTTGCGTTTCAATTTATGGATGTTACCTAAAATTCTATTTTTATTCATTTCAAACAATAAATGTTACTTAAAATAATATTTTTTTCTGTTTAAAATAAAACTGTTACCCAAAATACTATTTTTAATCATTTTAGATCATAAATGTTACCTAAAGTTAAATTCTTTCACGTTTAAACCCAAATGTTATCTAAAATATTATTTTTAAACTATAAGCCTTAAATGATACCTAAAATAATAGTTTTGAAATTTTAAACCCAAATTGTTACCTAAAATATAATTTTCCTCATTTTAGGCTAAAAATTTTATCGAAAATTCTAGCTTTTTATTTCAAGCCATAAATGTTACCTAAAATACTATTTTTTGTGCTTTTAAGTCTCAAATATGATCTAAAATACTATATTTTCTTAGTTTAAGCCGTAAATTTTACCTAAAATACTATTTTTATCAGTTCAAGCAATATATGTTACCTAAAATACTATTTTTTCTCATTTTAAGCCATACGTATTATCTAAAATACTATTTTTAAACTTTTTGCAGGTTTTCTGTTATTTCCGTCTTATACTCACAATATCTTTTAGCACTAATCACTAAGACAACAAAAAATTTACTTTACATCTATCAAGTGCAATATAAATGTGCATACCTCCTAATAAAACATCAGAATCCAAAAACTACAATTCATACACTGTAAAACTAAAAAATTCACAAGTACAATAGTATTTATATATAAGATATGAAATCACAAAGCTATATAATAATCACAACACAAATCACCACACAATAACAACTACAACTTGCTACCTAATCTATCATGTCTTTGTTGCCTCATTAGTTCTCTAAGAGTTTCTTGATGAAAAGGTAGAACTTCAGTCTGATTCAATGGAGACTTCTGTGCCCAATCAAACAAATTCTGATAAGCGTGACCGTTTTTGGCGCCAATTTGAGAATTCAAAACTCTGTCGTGAAACTCGAAAGAATCTACTATATTCACAGCGTTCGAGCGTAGACGTTGAAGAGAAGAGAGAAGCACCGTGCTCACGTCTTCTAGGATTATTGGGTTTACGTAGTTTGTCTGAAATTTTTAAAGTTTAGATTTTTTAAATATTATAGTAAAGATAGTAGAGCTAAGGCTTGTGTCAAAAGTAAAGGTGCGGAATCAGAATAATATTACGTTAAAATAAAGCAAAATATGTTATCGTAAGCAAGAGTATCGCAAATTAGAGTAAATTAATCGGTAGAATACAGTACCGTAAAAGAATGATAAGCTTATGATAAGAAGAGTAAGGCTAGAGCCAAGGCTAAGGCTCAAACTAAACCTAAAGCTAGGGCCAAAGCTAACCTTAGTTTAAAGCTATAGTAGGGTTTGGGTAAGGGTAGCAAAGATGCAGGGTAAGACTGGAGAAGATTTAGGTCAGGACTATGGCTGCTTGAGCTCAGGCTACGGTTAGGTCTATGACTATGAATAGGTCTATGTCTAGGGATCTAGGCCAGGGCTCTGAGCTAGGGCTCTGGGCTAGGGCTCTGGGCTAGGGCTCTAGGAAAGGGCTTTGGGCTATGCCTAAAGCAAGAGCTAAACTAAGGCTAACTTAAAACAAAGTAAAGATTGTAAAACTATCTTACTTCAAGCAAATCAGCCCTACACTCCAGTATCTCGTAGTGCAAATAAACGTCCAGACAGTCATCCAAGGCAACCTTCACTTCCTTATCAGACACTCCTTGTACTGTGCTGACAAAAGCTTCCGCCAAATAGACTCTTGTAAAGGCTCGTGCCGCCTAAAACGGTCCTGTATTATCAAAGAACGTACTGTTTGTAAAGTTTAATTAAGAGAATGAGCATTATCTTAAACCATTCTACTACAATTTTGAATTTCAGACGATGTTAAGGAAGTTTTTTAAGGTTTAATGTCTAAAAAGTAAGAGTTTTTGATGTGTAAGGGCAAGGTTTTCAAAGTTTAAGTGATAAAAATTGTATCTTGAGCTTCCTAAATTAAAAAAGGGGCATTGAACTTTTAAAATCTTTCAAAAAATTAAATTTTAATGCTCAAACCTTATCAATTTCGATAGTTTGTCTTAAGAAAAGTTTCAAAAACTCAAAAATTAAATTTTAAACCTTTTTTAGCCGCTTTTTTAAACTTTTTTGTGCCTTCTTGTTTAATTATTAGCCCAAAAGTCTTTACATAAACATACCTTAACCAGACTAACCGACACATTGTTCCAAGCAGTCTCTTTCGAACAAATTTTACATTCCTCAGCCAACTTCTTATATGCATTCAATGTCAATTCTCTACTCAAATGTTCAAAACACTTCAAAGCTTCTCTGACTCTCTGTTCTCTCTCATTCTTCTTGTTATACCAACAATATCTGTCACTTTCAAACAAATGCCTATCCATTGATGACAAGTTCTTCGGCCTTTTATTGACAACAACCTCACCAGCACGTTTCATCAAATACCGTGCTAACTGAAGCAGCATTACTATGTTGTCACCTTCGTATGTGCATCCACCGACTGTGCTTTGATACAAAGATGGTAAGCCGCTAGCGTGAGAGTAACCGTGACCTCCACACGACATTCGGCATTGTTCAATTCCAATGGAGGCTTGGTAGGAACAAACGGCTTTTAGTCCACTGGTTATAGCGTGGAGAGGCTCCATGAGAGTGGTCTGAAATTTAAGAGATAATGGTAAAATTAAGATTGAAATAAACATGTAGGCTAAGAAAATAGAGATGAAGAGGCAGATCAACATAAAAGTTTAAAAAATTGTCTTACCACGCCATTGCTGATTTCAATCCTCATTTGATGATACAATTGGATTGTCTTTTGGCCAGCAAAGGTAAAACATATTGCACGACAGAGTTGTGGAAACACTCGGTACTGTTGAGTACGATAATCGATTATTTTGACTTCTTGTTGGCTGAAAGTAAAGGATTTTACTGTACTATCACGTACTATAATATAATATCATATACTATAGTAACATATACTGTAATATACTTCACAGTTCTATGCAATGCTATATTATACTGTGGATATTGTACTACAAGGTTGTTCAAATAATTATGTGCTCCCTTGCAAAGCAAATGTTTAGAGTTAAAGAGCACAGAATTAGGTAAACAAGCTTACAACAGAATACTATATAATACCATACTATACTATATATCATTTTATACTGCATTAACTTTGACCTTAATCTTACCATACCTTTTCTCAATCATTCCTTGCCTCCTAACACATGAATACCTAACAGCAATACAAGCAGCTCCAGCCAACGCTTCACCCATAATCTCATGAATCATAGCACACCTCACATACATCATACCAACATACGCAATCTTAGGATGACAAGCTTGAACATATTCTCCTTGATCAGTAACATAAAAGTGTTTGGCCAATAGTGCCACTTTTGGTACTCTAAAGTTGTCGAACGCCAAGTAACCATTATCATTAGCACTCAGACCAAATGCCGTACCAATCTCACCAACCTTGACTCCAAGCAGTGGCTGATGAGATTCAGAATCTCTGATTTGAACGTAGAATGGATGCATCCCATAGTTTCTGCCATTTGTAAGCAAATTGGCCATAACCACACACCATGACGCCACTTTACCCAAATTGCCTGGCCACCACTTGTAAGCTGATAGCTCTGGAGTATTAAGCACAAAGGTCTGTGTAGTCTTGTCAAAAGTGGCAGTTGTTTGTAAAGCACCAGTGTTGGTACCATGACCAAGTTCAGTCTGAGCATATGCACCGTAATGTTCGTACCTTAGGGCTGGTGTGAGGAAAAGGCGACGTTGTTCTTCTGTACAACATGTTTCTAACAGTGGAATCACGATAACATCTGTTAGATAGCCGGGACCGCTGTTTGAACCGACTGTGCAGCTGGAAATAAAGGAATGTTGCGAAATGTCAAAGAAAACATCGAAAAATAAAAGACCTTGAATTTTTCAAAAATCGACCAACATAAAACCAAAACCTACCGTTTATAATACTCATAAGCAAACTTGTTCCCCTGAGGCACAATTTGGTCCAAATATTTTCTCGAGATGACATGATTTCTGAACGTCTGTTCCATACCTTCTAATTTGGACTTGAAACTGAGATCTGTCGATATATTCTTCAATTCTGGAGTTAAGTCGATAAAACGGTCGATTTTCCTTCGAATTTCCGCATTGTCATGACCTCCATAAAGCACATCAGCCAAGGCATGAGTATCGAAATGGCAGTTCTGGCGTTCTTCTGTTAGATCAGGGTTGTCTGTTTGGGATATACAGTGATTTACCATGCTGCTGAAGAACTATATTTATTAGAATTTAAAAAAATCAAGGATAAGATACAGGCGAGCACGAATAAAAAGTAAAACAAGAAGTTAGCTAACACGAAATGTCAAAAAATCAAAAGCGGAGTGTCAAATTTACGAAAAAATAGAAAAAATTAGCTTTTCGGCCGCGTTTTTGCTATTATTTTTGTTCTTATCACAATAAATCTTACCTAAATTTATTTCTATTACAATATTCATAATATATAAAGCCTTACTGTTACCTATTCTTTCATTATTAACCTTCTTTTCAGTTTCTAAACGGCCTCCTACACCAAAATCTCCACATTTTTTCCAAAGAACGTTAGCCAAATTTTGTGATGGATAATATATTGGACCATTTCTACGAAACCTATTCAAAAAAGACGCATAACAAATGGAATACAGGAAAATCTACATACTCTGATAAGTTAATTTTAGTTTTTTTATTGTGTTTTTAGGTAAAAAGGGACCAAACAGCATGTTGAAGATGTTGTCCATGTTCTATTTGTTGCTTTTGAAAGCAAACCGTTTGAAAATTTAAAAATACTGTTTGCAATTGAATTAATTAAGTAAAAACAAGATAAAAGCTTTATAAAAGATTTTTTCTGTTTAAAATTTCATTTTCAGTCCAGAAAACATCTTCAATATCCTTTTTTGCACATTTATTACCTAAAAGCACAGGAAAATAGCTAAATCAAAACATACTGTTTGTTGTGATTGTTCATGTGGTCCATATTGTCGATATATTATATTATTTTGCGCTTTCTTCCAGTAACTTCATAAGAAATGGTCCAACAAAATGTTATCCATAGTAAAATTTGAATAAGACGTTTGGAAAAATATAAAACTAAGCGCGAAAGATTATAAAAACCGAGAAACAGTTGAAAAATAGAAGAATAGATGTCAATAACTGTTAAACTAATTTAAATATCCTATCAAAAAAGATTGAGATCAAGGAAATTGTGATAAGAGCAGAAACGGTAAACAAAATCCAAAAATTTTTGCAAGATTTGACACTTCGTCATTGGTTTTTCTGAGGTTTAGCGTTTTGAAATAACCCACAAGCTTAGAAATTAAAAAAAAAGTAAAAACAGCTTGTTTGGACACAAAGTTTTGGGCCACCCCGACGCTCTAAACAAAATTGTCCGCACTGCTCATGTCAAAAGACCTTTTGAAGTTGACACTGCTGATGCCAATAGTTGCCTTCTTCTACCATTTCAAAGTATATAATCTCAATTTACTGTAACAAGGAACATTTTTATACTCAGAAAATGATTCTATTCATCGGAATGACCCTTGAATACGTTGCTATATTACTTCCATTTTTCCGGTTTTTATATACAAAATACCATTTCCACGGACCACACAGTAAGGTGAACTACAGTGATAACAAAATTGATTGATTGTGTGGGTTTTTCATCAAGGAAGTAATCAATTGTTTTCTTATTAATTACACCGGAACGTAGTCTACAGGACATTACAGTGTTTTGTTAGATTACGTATTTGAACTGTACTTACGAAAAACGTTGAAAAAGGGTATTGCTATGGTACTCTGCCCTACTTTACCCTACCTAACCGTACCCTATTAGTTACAAAAACAATAGGTAAGGGATTGGGTGGGGCTACAGTAGAGCTAGGGTAAGGCTATGACAGGACTATGATAAGAGTAAAGCTAGGTTAGGACTAAAGTAGAAATAACATAAGTTATTGCTGTGGAACGGCTCTGATAGGGGTAGGACCAGACTAGGGTTAGGGTAGTCCTATACCCTTAGAATACAACAATGTAAACTTTTAAAAGATATTTTTTTAATAAGCATTGTATACTTAAAAGATAAGAAAACGTCATAAGTTGATCTGTTTGTACCCTTTTTTAGGACTACTAGTTTTGTAGCCACAATAAAAATACCGTAACGCCAAAAAACTAAGAATTGTGAACCTTACAAATGATATATGAAATGATCTCCCAATATTTGTAAAAACACGTTTTCTGAGCCTTCTTTGAGTTAGTAAGACCCATTTTTAAATGTTTTAGGTTGACTGCAAACCTGAAATCAGCCATAGCTGTAGGTAAACCCTAGCTTTTTTCTAGTTTTGACCTAGACTTGCTTTAGTCTTGCTATAGTTTTGTCATAATCTTTTCTTAACTTGCCCTAGTTGTGCCCTAGCCTTGCCCTAACCTTACCCAGCCTTTCCCTCGCCTTGCATCAGCATTGCCCTAACATTGCTCTAGCCTGGCTCTATCTTTTTCCGAGCCTTACCCTATCCTTGCTCTAGCCTTTTCCTTGCCTTTCACTAGCCTCGCCCTAGTTTTGTCCTAGTAATAGCCTTAAACTAGCCTTGCTTTATCCTTGCTCTGGTCCTAGCCTTGCCCAGTCACTACACTACTACCCTAAAATAACCTTCCGTACCCTGTGTCAAAAATAAAAAAATCGATTTCCAATGCTAAACCCCTATTTGCAATCGAAAAACATGCTAATCAACAAAAATAAAGGGAGAAAACGTGGTTTTATCAGCTGAAATTTTGTTGTTTAACGACGTTTATCAATCTATATAACACAACACACAAATCGCACTTCCATATATCACTGGGTAATTAGCAATCATTCAACGATCTACAATCACTTTGTTTTTGTTAACAGATCTCGTCAGACAAACAGCAAACTTCATACAAAACGGGTCTGTTAAAAAATTTAGGATTAGTTTGCAACATATTTACGTAGAAACGCCTAAGCTATTCTACTCTGACTGATTTTACCCTACCCTAATTTACTCTTCGCGACCCTGCCGGTATCCTAACGTATTCATAAATATACAAACTAAAGAGTCAAAACATGAAAACACAAAAGCTACACTATTGTTTTTAAAATTTATAAATGTTTTGAAGTTCTTTGCTTTATTGTCATATACTTCATTATATCCTTTTATAAATTTTAGTATTTTGACTGCAGTTCAACATGAAACTTAAGAAGTATACATAATAAATTCAATTAGATGTTTAATATCATAATTATGGCAAGGTTATTGAAAGCTCGCCGAGTCAGTTTATTACAAAGATATAAATCACAAACGATTTGGTTTACTACGCCGCTATTATAAACTCAACTGTTTTTTAATGGTAAGCTAAAGTAACTTGGCTTAACTTAAAAATATAATTTAAATATTTAAATTGTTTTCAATAGTATACTAGATTATACTATAAAAGAAGAGCCGTTAACCTATTGCAACCTACAGTTGGCTTATTTTCATTTCGATTAATTTTTAAAATTAACAATTTCGAAGTAATGAAACGTGCAGGCATAGTATATGCAGTATGTTATGGTTTTGCTGCATTTAGTATTGTTTATGTTAACAAACTTGTTTTAACTTATTTTCAGTAAGTTGAAATTTTTCAAATTTTGCTTAAAAATTTTAGTTCTAATTGTTTTTAAAATTGAAATAATTTTTTAAACTATTTTTAAAGTTTTTTCAATAAAAGATAACATTTTAGGTTTCCATCATTTTGTTTATTATCATTGCTACAGACTGTTTTTACTACAGTTATATTTAGTTTTTTGCATTTGCTTGGCTTCATAAATATTGCTAAAATCTCAAAAAATGTTATCATATCTGTGAGTTTTTATTTATTTTAGAACTGCTGTAGTGGATGCAAGATGATTTTTTTACCCATGAGCAATAGACGTGTAAAGGCGTCAGGCCGAGGCCAATTTTTCGGCCGAAGGCCTTGCTTTGTGTACCTCGGGCCAAACCAAACAAAAATTTATAATGTTATCAAATTTTAGATTAGTCCACTAGTAGCCCTATTCGTTTTCAATCTCATGTTTGGCCTAGGAAGCACAAAGTATTTATCGTTACCAATGTTTACTAGCCTTCGACATTCGACCGTACTCATGACCATGTGCTTGGAATACGCTTTGTTAAAGTAAGATTTGTGATCCTAGAACCGTATTTCTATCTCCAGCCCGAACTCTAATTCTAACCCTAGTTCTAGACTTATCGACTGCTTTAGCCCTAGCTTTGACATTAGCTCTAGGTCTAGTTATAACTTTAGCTCTAGCACGAGCTTTAGCTCTAGCTTCAGCTCTTACTCTAGCCCCAGCCCAGTAAAAACACAAAATCTTATACATTGCCGTAAATTTCAGTACAAAGCCTAAAACAGGAACAGTAATAAGTGTTTCATTCATTATGGTGGGTGTTATACTGGCAGCTATGTAAGTTTTCAAAACTATTTTTCCCATTTACTTTTTCATTTTCAGGTTTGACAGTGATTGTACGCTCTTTGGGTACATTTACATTTGTATCAATAACTTTTCGACAGCATTAAATAGTGTTTATATTAAGCTTGTTTTTAACAAAGATGTAGGTTTTCCTTGATTTATCATGCGCTTTGTCTTTCATACTGTAAAGTTGTTTACTATGTTACAACTTTTGGCTTTTCAGCTCATGTCAACAACAGATATCATGTTCTACAATAATTTGTTCGCTGCGCCATTCTTGGCCATGGTTTGTTTTGAAAACGACGACTTTATGTTCGTACGTTTCAAATTATTATTACCTGCCCTTGAGTATGATCGATTAAAATATAATATACCCTTTGGTTAAAAACAATAATATTTACATGTTAAAAAATGTTTTAAAAATTTACTGAACAAGTATTTTTATAAGATTTAAAATTCAGACTTGGTTGTTTTACAACTTATCATCACACAAAGCGGCACTGACAGTTTTGATATCGATAGCTCTGTTATCTGGAATCTGTTTGGGGTATTTTTCTTTTCAATGCACCAAGTATAATTCAGCTTTGACTACAACATTCATTGGCGTCCTGAAAGTAAGGTTTTCATAGAGGCAGTAGGTGTAGGGCTGTAGGAATAGGGGCAGTATTGGGTAGAAGCTGTAGGGGAAGGGGAAAAGGCAGTAGGGAGAGAGGCAGTAGGTGCAGCATGAAGTAGGAACTGTAGGGATAGGGGCAGTACGGGTAGGAGCAGTAGGGGTAGGATTAGGGATTTGCTAAAATTGTAGCTCATTTTTTCAGAATGTAATCATAACATACAGTGGAATGTTCACTGGAGATTACACCTTTAACTTGTGCAACTTCATTGGAGTTACATTGACCACAATTGGATCATTAATATTTTTTGGCTCGGCAATTAGTGGAAAACTCAATATACGACAACAACCTGCCAAAGTCGTCGTATAACTAGCAGTAACAACACCATAATGATGAGCAATATAAACCAGGTATAAATTTCGATAAAACAGCTTTAATACTGTCGAAAAATGTCAATTTCAATCATAAAAGACGTATAAAATTTATTGAAACAAAATAAATACATAAAATTGTTAATAATAAAGCAAATACGAGTATCATTCTAATACAACAACGTTAAGAGTAACAATCAAAATGTCCAAAATTTGTTAAAAAATGTAAAAATAATGATATAAAACTACTAAATTATAATTTTAAAAAAGGTTATTGCTACTAGGCAGCTACAAAATTAATATAAACTTAGAAATAAGACTATAGTATGATATGATAAAACTCATAAGACTACAATCAAGCTGAAGTTATTTCTATAAAAATGAGCATCGTAACACTAAAACACTAACTACAACACTACTGGAAGGGATAATGATCCCTACTGAGCCTTAACCTTGCTCGGCGCAGTAAACAACCGTACAGTCACATACATCTTGTACATGCCCACAGCCACAAAAACCAAAGTTGCTGTAGCCGCAGCCAAAACCACAGCCAACAAGTCTAGTCCAAAGTACCGTACAAACGACACTTCAGCCCCAGGCAATGTCAGTTTATTGTACATTTCCGGATACCTGGTCGCCAACACCACACTATCGACCAGTTTCTGTTGAGGCGGCTTTGGTTGATTGTTCAACATTTCACTCAACTCCTTGGCTCTAGACCGGATCTTTGGACTGTTTAGTACAGTGTCCAACGCTTTGACAATCGTCTCTTCAGTAAGTTGAAGTTTGGAGACGTGAATGCCATTTCCAATGTGATTAACAACTGCTGTGTTAAAGGTTTGGTCACCGAACAAAGGAATGGCAATCAAGGGGACACCGGCGAAGGCGGCTTCGTTCAGACTGTTCAGGCCGCAATGAGTTATGAAGGCCGCGGTTTTTTGGGTGGTCTAAAAATTTAAAGTAAAATTTTTGAAATTTGAACTTTATCTTTTATTATCTTCAAACAAAAATTTCACAAAAAAGTTCGTTTTAAAGCTATAACTTTGTAAAATACGATTATTGCCGCTTCCATTTTTAAAATTTCAATCAAAACTTACTCAAAATCGTGACCTGATCGGCCCATTTTACAGTGTACAAGTTTTTGGGTTTGTCCTCTAATATGTCATCGAATTTCCAAATGAATTCGTAGTCAGGGAATCGAGAGAAAACGCTGATAAAAGCTTTACGTACGTTGGCTGGAAGTTTTGAGTTATCAGCCAATGAGCCGAACGAAAAGTAGATGACTCCTTTTTTGGCCGAATCGTAGATTTTTTGCGTTTCCTATAAAATTTTATTTTAAATTTGGAAAATATATCAGTATTTCAATTTTAAACCCTAAAATATTTTAAAACTTTTATAGTAAAACTGCAAAATTTCAAAAAATAAAAGTGCACTTTAAACTTTACACTTTATTATCATGTACTTTGGGTTTTTATACTGTAAAATTGTAGTGAGCGCCTTATCACAACAAATTTTATCAGTGTTTACAGACAGAACAGTATATTGTAAGTGCAAATTCAACGGGATCTACGTACAAGACCCATCAGTAACAAAAAAACGATTACTAGGCGCTGGATTAAAAAAAAATCGTTTTCAAATTTCGCGCCAAAATTTGGCATTATGCTTCAAGCCCCTATTAGTAAAGAAATCTTTCTCTTTCTTGTGACATTAAAGTATTTTAAAAGCTTGGCAGTGAAATGGCAATTTTCGTAAAAATCAATTTTAAATTGCGCGCCAACATTGGCATTATGTTTCATGCCCTAAATGGTAACGAAGTTCTTTCTCTATGCTTTGAAATAGAACTAATTAACAATTTCGACTCAAAAATGGCATTTTTCATTAAAAACAGAATCTTAAAACGTTATGCCAAAATGGCGCCAAATGTAAAATTCAAATTTTTCAAAAAATTCAATTTTAAAATTTTAAACCCCTGTGCTGTATAAGCCACTTCTAAAGCATTTTTAAGTAGATTTGTATTTTTTAATATTTGTATCTAAACTTCAAAAACATCAAAATATTATTAACCTACCTCATTCAGCGTTCCAGGAGCCCTGACAGTAATTCCGCCGACAAAAACTTGTTTTCCACTGACCGGTCGAGGTAGATCCAAAAATTCATTTGTATTTTGAATGAACAACGCTGCGTTACGACTCAATTCCTGTGGATATGGTAGGTTTAAGTGTTGTACTAGTTGGAAGACCTCTCCATTGGACATACGTCTCAAAAGATTACCGACTGAGTCGTAGTACTCGTACCAATTGACAAAACGCTCGTACATTGTCATATGAATGCCGTTTGGAGAGGCTCTGTTCATTACTGAAACAAAATTATTAGTTTAATAAGTGCTTTTCCTTTTAAAGATCAAAAATTATATTTTTCATGACATCAAACGGACCTTTTGATGTTTTTTCAAAAATTCACATTAAGTTTTCAAAAAATATTGAAAGTTTTATACATCAAAACACTCGTAAGACCCTTGGGTATCTTACTAATCAATAATTCTTTTAAATTTAAGCTATTCTGATACCAAAAATTTAGATTAAAGTTCAAAAGTAAGCGAAATTTCAGAAAAACACAGTATACTCCAAATATTTTATTTTTTTGCCCGATCCATGTAATCAACTTTTAGTACCTGCTCTCAAAAAGCTTCTACTTACTCTAACAGTTCTAAAAAAAATATTTTTTCAATATAAAAAGTGCAATAACATAAACAATTTTATAGTTTTTTTCAAAATTTTTGTCAAAAATCTCCAAACTTTCTCTTTTCAAAGCCTTTGAAATCTTTTAAAACGCCATAAAAGATAACACTTACCAGGAAAAACATTAGGATTGAAAGGAATCCCCATGCTGTACGAGTTATACTCAGAAACAGGTACCGGCGACATGAAGAAGACCGGTTTAATGCCATGTAGATGTCCCAAAGCAGCTCCGCAAATATCGATAGATTCCACAAACAAAGCGTCGTACTTGGTCCTGTTCAGAATCTCCTGAAGCTCAGCGTTGTGCAGTAAACTACGACAGTAATGCTGAAACATTCCCAGCATAATATCCAGCTCTTCTCCTTTCATCAGAGCAACGTCACTAGTAAATACATCGTTGTAGATCGAGAATCCGGACAAAATCTTTGACATTACTTCGATATCGTCGGCTAGAATGGTTGTGACGTTAGTGAGTTTGTTATCGTTAAATGGTACAAATTTGTTTGATTTGAACATGACAAAGTGCTGAAAATGAAAAATTTTTAAATTGTTACCTAAAATTCAAAAAAAAATTTTCTTGTATAACACTTTAGTGTTACAGTTTTTAAATTCCCGCCAATTTGGCATTCTGATGCAACAAATTATTTTACAGTATTATAATTTGTAATAGCAAAAATAACATTTCTAAAGGTAATTCAAGCTTAATTTGTGACTTTTAATGATGTTACTTTACAAAACACATCACAAGACATAAAATAACCTACATAACATCGTAAATCAGTCTAACAATCTGAATTGAAGTTCTGGGTTCTTTTTTAATAAAAAAAAGAATAATATAGCTTAAGAACAATATAATTTCAATTTTCAACCTAAACTTTTCAAGTTCTGGCAAAAAAACTTCAAAAAACAGCCAGAAGTCCCCAAACTTCAATTCCACTCCAACAAATCAAAATACTAAAAACTTACAACTTGATGTCCAGCCTTTTGCAAAGTCTCCGCAATCTTGGCATTATATACAGCATGAGTATAACAAAAGTTTGAAGATACGAATAAGTAGTTGTAAGCCGTGACAACGTGTAAAATTGCGAAAATGGGCACCACCACCTTCAAAACGGACGTCATGGTTAATGTCTGCGGAGACGCCTAAAATGTTAACTTTTAAATAAGATAGACTAAAAGGGTGTTAACACAAAAAAGTGGGGTATTAAACAAAACCAAGACACAAATCAGAAATTGTTCGATTGACATGTGAATTCGGTAAGAAACGCAGGTTTCGCACCCAAAAACAGCCCGACAATCTTACAAAACATGTTGTTATTGGTCGAAAACGAACACATCTAATTCAAATTGATCTCACAACATAATCTACGGTACGTTAATGATGTTTTAAAAATAAAATTTAATGTTTTGGACTTAAAATTTAAGATGTAAAGTAGAAAAAACCAACAACGATATCAAGCTTTTTGACAAATTTTATGTTCATACCCCAAACTCTTGATCATAACACAACTAAACTTCAATATCATATACCAAAATGTCTTCAAGACAATGAAACATATATTGATAACCTTTTTTTTAACAAAAAGAAACGGTTTTAGAAACCAAATTTTGAGAGAAAAAACCAAAAAATATCAAATTAAACCATTTGAAAAAAACGTGATCATACCTCAAACTTTTGATCATAATTCAAATAAATCTCAAGCTTGTCAGACAGAACCGTCACAACAGAATCAAAAATTAATATCCTATAAGGATCACTCAGTTTATTACATAATTGATGCGTATTCACCTTGCTATCATCATAAATAACACAACGATAAACTATCAAAAATTGAGTATATATTGTTGCTTTTTTAATTGATAAATTCAGACCTAACTTAACAAAAAATATTAAAACCCATCGGATAATTCGTCGGTAAAGGTCTTTAAAAAAATAGTTTTTTAAATTTAATAATTTGTCGTAGCAGAAAGCCAAGTCTTTGTTGAATAACATTTTCGTGTCAGGACCTAAGTTAGTAAACCGTGCAAATAAAAAAAAACAGTGTAACTACTGTATAATAAACCTATGTATAACGGAAATCCTCATTAACAAACAAAATTTAAATCTCTCCGCGACCCTATCACTACACAGATTTAAAACTCCTCTATAACGAAACTCTATCATAACCTTCAAATCTCCGAGCGATTCTTTATATAGGAGGTTCACTGTAGCTGTTAAACCAGTCGGTAGCGATTTTCTCTAAAAGAACACAAACCAAATTATGGTAACAAAACACGACACAAACTAAAAACAAACTTAATCAGCTTCACTACATACATCAACAACAAACTTTCTAGTTTTTTGACTTTGAATTGATCGTACTTTAAATTTTGCTTTAAATTTTGTTGTAATTGTTATCATCTTTGTGTTTTATAACGAAACGTTCGTCTGGTAGCTGGTTGTGTTCAGAATTTATTGTTGTTGTCTAAGATTAAAATTTTAAAAAAATTAATTTCAGGCTTTATTTTTTATGTAAGCTGCCGATTGGCTATGTTATAACTAGTACTATATGTACTATTTTAGTTGTTGTTTTAGTTATATTTGTTGTTAAAATAAATATTTGGTTAAAAAATCGTGTAACAGAACTTTTTGCGCACCCTCTAGTAAGTATTATATTTGAAATACAAGAAGCTGTGTTTTTGCATGCAATGTTTTGATAAAAAATATTCATACGGTTCGATATTAAATTCATAATCTACATGTCAAAAGTAATGCTAGAAATCCACCTGTAACGTGTTTTTATTTTGCACAAAAATATCACACTTAAAATCAACGTCCTCTGACAACCCTTCTCAAATCGTCAGTCGTCTTTGGGATTGCGGACTTGGCGAACGGTCGTAGTTGAATGACCTATATCGATTCCTATTGTCCTTATTTAAGTGTTAAAAAATTCTACTTATTGGTAAATAGATTAGAATTGAAAAAGAGGCCATTATAATACTTCGAAACTTTGAAAAGTTCATTCCATTGAACTAAAGAACATTTCAAAAAGACCTGTCTGATTACTGATTTCTTTATTCATGTGAAAAGAAAATGTTAAAACTTGCGTGTTTTAACGTATGGTAACGTTTTACGAAAGGTAGCATTGTTGCCGATACAGCTTATTTTTGAGAAGGTGAAAGATAAAAATTTTTTTTTTAGTTTACTGGTACTTGTGCAACAGTTGTTCAAAAATTTTTGTTTTTTGGTCTAGAAGTACAAGAAGAACCACCTTTTCTAAAAAAAGTTTTGTTGTGTTGACTTTGGAGGAATTGTATTTACTTCCGGTACAATATAAAATTTGCAAAATAATTCCAAAAATAATTTTTAAGTAGTTTAAACAGTAAAGTTATAGTTTCATACTGCAATGTTCAAAAGTTTAAAGTAATTTTATTATTGTCGTGTGCTCACAAGTGTTACAAACTTTACCCAAACTTCGTTTTAGAACAAGTTTGCCCATGAATAAGAAACACGTGATGAAAATTTCAAACTCTTTTAACACGGTTTGTTTTTAGAAAAAAGGTAGTACTTGAGGCATAGAGAAGTAAAGATATAAAAATTTTTTAAAATTTGGTTACGGTAGGAATACGGTAAAATTTAAACATTATTTATATCTCTTGTACTAAATGTCACAATGGAATGGGGCTTTTTTTTAATTTTTTTGTCATTATAAGACATTCACTTTATCTGTTGACAACTTCTTTTTTATTATGCCCGAAAGGCATTGAAAAAAAATTAAAATTTGCAAAATAAATAATCATGAAAATTTTAAAAAATTTGAAGTTTTTCGACAAAAAGTCACTATGTAGCAATTTTTAACAACGGATAATGAAACTAAATGCTATTGCGGTTTTAACAACGCTAATTATGGGTTATCCCAGCGAAGCCTGCTGTAGCTACGAATTTTCAAACTTGACACCTTAGGGTCATATTTTAGGCACAAACTCTTTGAAGGGTGTTTGACACGTTTCACATGTTCAATAAGTGTTTACACACAATTCTGCCTATATTGCCTTAAAAAATTAAAAAAATTTTTTTTTTAATTTTTGAAAAATTTTTAAAACAAACATTGATTTCATATGTTTTGACTTTTGGTATGTGGTTTATAAAAGATAAAAGAGCATAACAAATTACCGAGAAACCCATTATCAAAAATTTTCTAAACGATTTTGGCTAACGAGATATTAAAGGTCAATGAATTTACCTAAAGAACTCTTCATTTCTATGCCAAAGTACTACCCTTTGACTAAAAATAAACGGTTTAAAATTGGTCTGAAATTTTTAATCACTTCAGTTTCACCGTTTTTTGAAACTTATAGGGACGTTTTTTGAAGAACTACAATTTTAACCTTTTTGACAGTTTGTATTAGAACACGCAACAATGTATGGCGACAAACTACATTTCAGTTATTCAACGTATTTCCATAGTATTGTTTATATACCGTTGGATATCGGCTCTTGTTGTTCCTACTATAATATAATACACCAAGTTTTACTGCCGTTTTTTGTTATGGAAACACCTTACACATGGCCAACTAATGATACAATATCTCCATCAATAAGCAAGGAAACATACGATTTCCTTATGTTGTTGAAGAAAGTTAATAGCTATTTTATCACTATACTTGGTTGCACATTTAACGCTTGTTTAATGTACTGTATATTAAATGTAAAGAATGCTGTCCTCAAGGTTTACAAGAACATGTTATTTGTTTGTTGTTTATGCGAAATCAACTTGTTGTTTGCTGAAACTTTGACTCAAATTGTAAGTATTGGTATAGCCTTGGTTTATTTAGATAAAGCGTAGCGAATATTAATACAATAGAACTCCTTTATAACTTGCTTAATAATTTAAAATTTGTTTTTTATGAAGGGGTTTTGTTATAAATACAAGAGTTTTGTATTTACTATGTAGTGTTAGCAGAGAGTTTAAAATTTGTTTGTTATACAAGTTTTTCGTTAAACAGAAGTTCTCTGTTTTCTAAATATAGATGAACAAAAACTTATTTTTCATAATTTAAAGTTACTCGCTATGAAAGACTCATCCCAAGGACAAACAATATTTTTGCTTACAGTGCAACGCTTTTTATAAAAACTCTTCTATAACCAAAATGCCGTAAAAAGAGCTTTGTTCTAACACTACGCAGCCTATTTTAAACATCTATATAGCCAAGAAGTTCTTAGGAATTTAGATTTAAATGTACACAACCAAACCTTTTTAATATAGCACTCAAGATACCGGTCTAAACCTGTCTTTCTAGCCAGAGTGGCACACTACCTACGCGTTGTACTTAGCTACGTACTTTTTAACAAAGGTCTATTACAAAAAGCGGTGAAGAAGCGGTTATTATAATGAAGGCGTTAAAATATGGATGGTCGTACTAAAGAGATTTTGCTGTATTCTTTTTGTAGCATTTCAACAAATTTTTTTTAGAATGGATACTCAAAGAACAAAGTGCTTATGTTAGTTCTCCATGGATGGGGCAATTCTTTACCTTATTTTTATCAGGTTCTTATTGTAGCTTATTATGGATTTTCATTGAATGTTGCTATAGCAAATCAGCCTGCCAATTACTTTTATCGATTTTATTGTGTGACGCAGTAAGAGAATAGCTTTATACTTTGTTTTATAGCTAAATCACACAAAGTACATTATAATAACTTGATAACGAAAATATGTATCTATTACACTACAACATTACGTTGCCCTTTACAGTTTTTATCTTATACTACAACAAGCTGCTTTAGAGCTTGTCATAAGACAACGCTTCTATTAATAACTCTTTTAAAAAGTATATTTTCCCAATTTTTCAGCAAAGAAGGACCATCAACTAACCTTCGCTACATCATGTACATTCTCATACTTGTATCATGCTTGCCAGTGTTTTTTCTTACAGTATGGGCATATTATTGTAGCGGAAAAGTAAAGCCCGGTTTCAACTATGCAACTCTGTGGTTTCATGCCGACGAACATGCTATGATATTGTCAGCTGATATGGTATGAAAAATATTTTGTAGTGAATCAAAGGTTAACATATTGTAGTAGATCTAAAATACAATCTGCTGCTGTACGTGCATTGTGTAACTTACAGTTTAACAAGAG